TTAATCAAATATTTTGTCAAATATTGTGTAATGGTATAAAACTTTTACAAAAAATAAGATGAAAATTTGAAACAAAGTTAGGGAGAGAAAATAGGTGAGTTAGAATATTGCTCAAAATTAAAGATGAATTTTTTTTAAAAAAAAAAAATAAGTTTGGGATACTACAACACAGTGCACAAAATCAAAATACCGTAAAATACCGGAAATTCCGGCAAATGAGAAAAAATTCCGGCGCACTTTTTTTAGAAATCTGAAATTTTCCGTTATTTGTAATTTCGTAATATGATATTGATATCAAATATTATGGCTACGAATTCAAAATTCCGGTTGATAAAAAAAATTGTCGGAAAAAATCGGGAACGTCATAAAAAATTTAACTCATTTTTAAATTATTCTTTCCTAGTAGGGGCACAATTATGTAATATGCGATAAAGTTGCGATAAAGTATATTTTTTTTCGTATACAATACCAACCTGTTTGGCTAGCATAAAAATTTTCGCGTACATTGTTAATTCCAGTAATTCTGTAATTTCTGTACACGCTTACATACATACTATCTTGTTTTTTAATATATATACACAGTATTGCATCATTAACGTTTTTATTCCCAATGATCGATTGTATATTAGGTAAGTATGATCTAATTTTTTAGTCATAGTGGAAAGTAATACGTAATACGGTCGGGAAATTATGTATCGGTATGAACTAAAATAAGGATAGGATGTTTTGATTGTCATGAGAGGTTAAAAAAATAAAGGTTTATCAGTTACTACAGTACTAACTGAAAGTACATACATCTTATTGGCCTTGTTAATCAATTTTTATTTTTCATATATAAAGTCAATTAGTTGTTTATTAGTTGTTGGGTGCAAGGATAAAATCTTTATGCCGGAAAGTAATACGTATCTGGTATTGCTATTACGTACGTATTACATATCGGTACGTATTAGCATTAAAATTACTAAAATTTGAATGAAACCCAAATATAGAAACAATTCTACTAACACTAATCGTAAAGTACAGACGTATGTACGTACGTACGTACATACGCGGGTAAGCAGACCTGCGATATATCTTTTTTAGCATGTTAAATCTTATCGTTATCGACGTGTTGTTGTTTACATGGTGAAACTATCGATAGAAATCATAGAAATCACAGTTGTCAATATGAAAGATAGCATAGTAACGCGAGGGTGAAACATTTAAGACTTTTAAGTAAAATTACGTAAAGTTTGTGTGTAATACTTTGATACTATAAAATGTTTTAATGTTAAATTACGCATTGATGCATATGATTTCTCTGACCAGTCATTAGTAACAATTACATAGCGATAGGAAATGCTAATTTTATGTAATTATAGCATAATGGTGTCTGGAAAGCCGATACTCATAAAGTTGCGTAGTTTGTTCGATAGTAAAGAAAATAAAGAAAATGATTTGAACCTTTTCAAATTCAAAATACAATAACAATAGTTACGTACAAGATACGAACGTACGTACTTACGTAGATAACTCAATAATCTGACATACTGGGAGGTATCACAATCTCACCATTTTTTTCATTAACACCCCACGTTGTACTAATCGCATCCCCCATCTCAACTTCCAAAATACCTCCATTCAGAATATCTTGGTGTCTAAACCAGGTCTTATACCAATTTACACCATTTAATTTAACACCTTGGACATAAATATTTTCAGTAGAATGATTTTTTGCTAATATTGTGAAAGTGATATTTTGCGAGAGATAAATGGTTATATTTGAAAAATGCGGCGAGTTGATTAGATATATATCTTGTCCTGCCCTATGTCATTGTTGTTATATAGAATATTATAAAATATTATAAAATATAAGAATATAAGATGAATTTTAAAGAATAATAAATTGAGAATGATAACTCTTACATGGGATAAATTCCCATAGCATGAAACGCGAACCAACTCCCCATAGCACCTGAATCGTCATTTCCTAGTAACATAGCACAATAAGTACTAAAAAATATTATTAATTCTATTCTTTCTTTTTTTTTCTTTTACAAACCAGGGATTCCACCAGGTCCTTTTCCAAATTTTTTCTCCAAAATGTCTCTAATAACTTCAACACTTTTCCATTGTTTGCCAATAAAATGATATAAGCAAGGGTGAAAAAAGTCTGGCTCATTTCCTATATTGAAGTATGCTGTTAAATAAGATTTATCTTCGAAAGTTTTGTCGAGACGACGTTCAAAGGCTTGTGGTCCTCCAGCAAGATGTATCAATCTTTTTACGTCTTATAGAGTTGTTATAAAGTTGTTAATATAGTTGTATTATGATATAAAAGTAAACAGAATCTCGTTAGTTGAGTAA